GGCTCAATAAAATTCATGTATGAAATTATTAGTTTGTTTTAAATGAAGGATTTGATAAACTTTCACAATGCCTTATAAGGCTTTGAATTATAAATAATATATTAAGTATATTCCGGGTTCTTTTTTGATGTATTTCGTGCTTTTCTCATTTATTTCACATCCTTCTGTAAATCTTATTCCTGTAATTATAATTGATTTGTATACTGTTTTCGAAATCTAGAAAAATCGCTTTACATAAAATTTGTTTTACGATTAGATAAACTTTTACGATGAGGCCTAAAATTATAAATAGTATACTAGATATATTCCTTACTTTTCTTTTTATATATTTCATACTTTTTTCCTATTTCACATTCTGCTGTATTTCATTAATTACAATTCATTTGTACACTCTTTTCGAAATCTAGAAAAAAGGCTTTAAATAAAATTTGTTTTAAATGAACGATTCGAAAAATTTTTACGATGTACTAGAAGGCTTTAACTTTTAAATAATGTATTAGGTACATCTCATGCTTTTTTTTAATATATTACATGCTTGTTTATTTTATTTTATATATTACATGCTATAAATTTTATTAAATTAACTTAAATTTTTCTACTGTTAGGGAAATCTAACAAAATTGCTCTAATTAAAAAGCAATTAATTGATATATTTAGTATAGTATTGCAGCGTATTAAGAAACAGCGGGTAGTTAGTAAAGCTCAAAACTAAAATTATTTTAGGATTAAAATATTGTAAAATAATTCTGTGAAATTGAAAAACATGGAAAAATTTAAAAAAAAAATATCCGTCTACATTAACGAGAGTACTAATCACGCGTTTTAGAGAACAATGCATTTTTGGATTATTAATGCCTTTTCTTTCATAATCCTTATAAAATATATAATTGTTTCGAATTAAGTACCAATTTCAGTACACTGTTAGAAATTTCATTCTAAAATTATGGTAAAATAACTGGCAGCTGTCTGTCCATCCGATTAACAATAAAGTTTGCGGTAAACAATATTTTTCACCTTTACGGTCTTGAAACTGTTTGAAACTAGTATGGTAATAAGATAATGAATACAAACTGTTTTTTAACCATTTACAGCTACCATGGTTTCAAAACCGCAAAAAAAAGAAATTTAACTGGACATGGGAGCTAGGCTTCTCGTTAGATAATGGACATTGGAGAGTGCAGGACACAGGAAATTTTTGATGTGTGTTAAAAGGAATGGAGGTTTCAACTCCGGAACTCGAGCCCCTGTTCTGTCTGTCATGAGGTTGACATATTAGCTCTCTCGGCTATAATATACACGCAATTGCAAGAAACTAAGTTGCTTCATTAAGTGGGCTTAGTTAGTGCATTAAAGTTCTTGTTATTTAACCGTTTTAGGTAAAAATAGTTATTAAATTATTTTTCTCACTGTTAATAGTTTCATTAGCATCTTATTTATGGTTATATGACTGTTTTGATTAAATATGGTAAAATAACAATTAAATAGATTGTTATTTAGCCATTTTCCCGAGATATTTCTAACAGTGTATTTTTCACAAAGATGTATCAAGTTTTCAGCAGTTTTTAAAATTTCATTATTTTTATATCATAATTGAAACAATCAATTTTGTCGTTTATTATTATTGAAGCAATAAATGTTTCATTTTTGGTGGTAGTTAAAGTTCCTGCAGGAAAATAAGATCCAGTAACACTAAACAAGCAATTTTTTCGCAAAAACGTTATTTTGCTCATTTTCATTCGCTATTATTATTATTATTTATTATTAAATTACTGAAAGGAGACAAATTTTGTAAAAATTGTCCTCTAAGATTAATAACCTCCTGTTTAACCATAGTTTCATTCTTTCTGGTATTATTTTCTTATATTGGTTGTTGATGATATCTATGTCTCTTTAAATAAAAATGAGTAATCCTTTGATTTTTGCATAGAAAGCACTATTCTCTAAGCGAATGGAAGCTTAAAATTATGAAATCTAAAATTATGTCCTTGTTTAAATCAAATAATCTGCGCACTACTGTAGAACTCAGTCTCTGTGAAATAATACTGAATTTTCGTGGTTAATGTAGTTGCAAGTTTGGTTTCCTTTTAAAAAATATACTAAATATAATAAAAGTATTTATTTTATTTTTGAAAAAAGATTTTACCTTAATAAAATTAAGTTTTATTGTTTTATCTAAGCAATTTTAGGGCAGAATTTGCACTTTCTGAAATTTGCAGCTGCAGTTTTATGTAACAATGATTTTGCTGCAAATTTTAAAAAAAGTTATTTTTAAAAAAGGTCAGTTAACAGAATAAAGCAAATAAATAAATTAATTATATATTCATTACAAAATTTAATTATAAAACTAATGATTTATACATTAAATATAAAAATTAATTATGAAAACTAATATAAAACATTTGCTTGACAATTAAAATTTTGCTATGTTATTTAATTACAAATATGCATAGAATATCTGAAATATGAAGTTATTCGTATTGTCTAGATACATTTTTAGGTTTTTAACAAAAGTTACACTTGTAACTTGAAAGCAATGCGAATCTCTGAATTTAATAAATATCATTCTTCTAGTTTTCTAACAAACCTTGCTGCAACAACTAACAAAATACCATACTAACAATTTCCAGATAAAGTAATTTTTAACAAACAAAGAATCCAAAATCGTAACTTTAAGTTACAATTTGAAAAAAAGTACTTTAAACTATTATAATTGCTTCACTTTGAGTCTAATGCTCTTTGTTTTTACACATGTCAAAAAGAATTACTAAACCTTTCTGCTATAAAGTTGTTAAAATCTGGAATTCTAAGAAGATTAAAATACAACATTTTAAATGAAAATCCAGCCACGCGAATCTTTCTCTTCCACTTTTCCAAATTCTAGAATTCTTGTCTTTGCTCATTATCATCGAAATAATTATTCAGCTAATTTAAAAGTTCCGCATACTTCGCGAATGATTTACATTCCCTCTTTACCTTAGAGGCAGGTGAAGAGATTATCACTGGTAACGCCGTAAAGGAAATGGAGAAGGAATTAGACTTCTTTGTTAATTGAACTCGTTTTTGGATTAAGAGGTTATTTTTAGAGAAGGATGCTTGGAGGTAAAATTTTCTCTTGAATACCCTTTTCTTAGAAGGAATTCTCAATTCAAAGTGAAAATCAAAAGCAAAGGTAATAATTTGGCGAGCTTTGTCTAAATTCAATCATAAATTGAGTTAGCATTGAATTAAGAAGCATACTTTTAAGAAAATAGAATAAGTGTTTCAGATGTGGGATAGTAGTTTTGAATGTTTCATTAAAATAGTTTTAAATTTGATTATATTAAAAGAAATTCAAAAGTTCAATGACGAATACTCTAAATGAAAAGGAAAATTTATTACAATAACTTTCAATTTTATTAGTACTCATAATGCACTAAAAATCACATAAAAATGCCCTTAAGGATCTTAAAATTCTTAAGAAATAAAATTTTTAAATAAAATTTTAAAAAAGAGTTCCACATTTAAAAAATAATTCCACATACTAAAACACTTTCGTGCATGTAATGTATGTTTTGGAAAGTTTTGTTTAAATTCAATCCAGAATTTAATTAGCATTGAATTGAACAGCATGCTTTCAGGGAAATATAATAAGTAATTAAACGGTAGCATATAAGGAAAAGTAACCTAAGAGATAATAGATTAGATATATACGATTCATAATAGATTATAAATCCACATTTTTCGCGAATAATAGTTAGAAGGAAATAATATTTCCTACCAATTAATATATATTATATAAATATATAGATACAAATATATATATATATATATATATATATATATA